GGGAGTGAAAAGGAGGGAGGAGGGGGGATGAGGAGAAAATGAGAAAGACTTTATGAAAAATACCTTAGCAGAAAGTGCCTGACTTGACGAAAAATGTGCAAGGTAATTGTAAACGTTATCCGGACTGTTAAAGAGGGGAGGGGGGGGGGTTAAGAAGTCTTTGGTCTAAGCATGAAGGAATAAAGATAGAGCTTTGGAACTTGGCACACAAGATTTCTTTTCTCTATATTGTCACCATGCAGAGTAACACATTTCTGTCACCTCTCTTTGACCTTCAAATGTCCTTGAGAGAAAAATGACCCAGAATTGACCCCTAACAAGACTTCAATAGCTTCAATGGCGTTCTCGTTGTCATGGAAATTACGTCCTTTGGGTGATTTTTTTAAAGATTAGAAAACAAAACAAAAGTCTGAGAGGGGATAGGTCTGGTGAATAAACTCGGTGTGGCAGGATTTCAAAGCCACACTGTTCTGCTGTCTGGACTTCTTGTTGTGCCCTGTGCGCAGGGGCGTTGTCATGCTGTAGGAGGACTCCATTATGGATTTTCCATGTCTTTTTCTCACCAATTCAGACGGCAATTTTATCAGCAAACCCGAGTAGTAGTCTCGTGTGACTGTTTTTCCCTTTTCCAGGTAGTCAGTCATGATGATACCTTCACAATCTCGGAAACATGATAGCATGACCTTTCCTCTTGGCGGTGTTACCTTTGCTTTCTTTGGTGAGGGAGAAGAATGGGTTTTCCGTTGCATGGAGGACATTTTGTATTCTGGATCAAAGTGATACATCCATGTTTCATCCATAGTCACCATGTTTTTAAAGAAATTTGTGTTATTAGACTCAATTCGAATGAGTATTTTGCTGGACCAAACCCTCTGCTTCTTTTTCTCACTTGTCAAAAGGCGGGGTACCCACCGCGCAGACACCTTATTCATGTTAAAATGATCTCGGAGAATCGTTTCAATTGACCCTACACTGATTCTCATTTCACTTGAGAGCTGTTTAACTGTTATACGTTGGTCTTGTAGAACCTGTTTTTTCACTATGGATATATTCTCTTCAGTTACCACATCACCAACGTGAATCCAGAATTGAATTTTCTTTCCCAGTATGTCACAGTATTATAACGAGGACATTTGTCACCATTAACTTGAACCATTTCTTGAAAAATGTTTGAAGGGGATTTTCCTTGCAAGTGTAAAAACTTGATAACTGAGCGATATTCAGAAGGCTCCACGGCACAGTTTCAGCAAAGAAAAACACACGTTTTTTGTGCATGGTTTCATTGATCACGATGAATTGTGCCTTATTATTTTCAGATTTCCCCTAGAATTTGCATTATGTGTTCCAAAGAAATTGTCTAATGGCTGGCAAAATTTCATTAATCTACTATGATTCCTTAATGCCTTATTGACCCCCCCCCCCCACCCTCGTATATAAGTGACGTTCAAAAGTGTACCAAGATATTCGAGAAGTCTTCGTCTTTTCACAACACGAAGTTCCAGTTTTTCACCTAAACTTGCTACAATGGCTTCACTGAGTCTTGAGGGTCGCATTGCCATCATCACAATTCTTGTGCTAGTCCTGAAAATACAGTCTTTGCTAATCCTTTGCTTAAACTATAATTGACAAATTTGTTGAAGTCCGGATTGATAATAAATATATTTTAAAAATATTATTGGACGTTTGTTTTATTTAAGATAGATGATGATGAGATCATCATCATCATCATCATCATCATCATCATCATCATCATCATCA